TAGTACTATAATCAACTGCCGCATGTACATCACCTTATAAAACCTAATAGAATTCGAAGGAAATATTCCGCTAGCACATGCTTAAAAGTGTTCCATGAACATGACGCCGACAGGAAACATGTTGTAATGAACGGAATTAACGATCCGTCTTGACAGTTACTATTAAGGTTCGTACGGTTCAGTGAACATGCAACTTCTTTGAATTTCCCTTAATTTACCTAAATTAAATATATCCAGTGACCATGCAACTTCTTTGAATTTCCCTCAATTTACCTAAATTATATATATCCAGTGTTCATTTTAGTTGCTGGAGTTTTCAACGAACAAAAATATAGTGTCATGATTTTGGATAGACACTATAATAATTTCATTATAAAATAATCATTTAGAATTTTGAGAGTGAACCGAAGTCCATGGTTACTGCCCTGTACGTCAACTTTGCGTATTTGGTTGTTGGAAATCATTCTATATTTAATATTCCAGGAATTAATACTATACAGAAGAATGATCTAATGGTTTGACTAACATAGGCCTACTTATATTAAGTTAATACTGCAGATGGTCCAGCCATGCATTTTTAGACAAAAATAATTTGCGATCACAACATTATCTGTTGCATGTTGAGGAGGTTGGTGTTTATGAGAAGATAATGTTAACAAACGGGAAAAAAAACTGATTTCAGCATGTATGGAAACTATAAAAAGTTAATGCATGTTTTATATTAATTATCATTTATTCATCATTCATGTAACACTTTGCATTTAATTAAAAAAAAATTGAATGTTTACCATAGTTTAATATTTTAAATGTATATTATGTAATATACTAATGTGCATCTGAATATAATAATAATTAGTAACTTCATGTATTTCTTAATATATGTAATTTTAGGTTACTATATTATTATTATTATTATTATTATTATTATTATTATTATTATTATATAACATAACAATGTGAATCTGAATCTGAAAATAATAATTAATTACCATTTATTTCTTAACATATGTAATTATAATATTATTAGGTATTAATTAACAATATTACCGGTAGTTAACACCAACAAAAGACTATAAAACGTGTTTATGAAATTATAATATGGGCATAGAAAGTCGATCGAATTGTATCATCAAATTGTATCATCATGGCCATTCTAATCTAATCGATAGCACAACTCAGTCTATAGAGGGCATTTAATGCGTTCAGAAACGATTTTCAACCGAGTTTTGTTCAGTAGCAAGATTTGTGGCAGTGTCCATCTCGACAGTTTGTGTAACCCTACATAATTGAAAAAGACGAATATTGGACTTGAACGTGAGTAAAAGAAATGTAAAATAATATAAACAGGGCCGGTAGTTCGTAAAAATTAGGGTAAAAACACATTTATTCTGATATTTAGGCACAATGTAGGGATACCATTAGCGAATTTTTCATAGTAAATCATTTACACAAGTCAAACATATACGCAATTTGATATACATGGCCTAAACTAAGTAGCCTGGTTGTAAAACTGCTGAAATGAACTTTAGCGGGAAAAAAGTAAGAGAAAATTTATTTTTGGATTTTCTGAATCAGCATACCCTATATTGTCTCAGAAAAAAAATCCCCATGCCTAAGGGCTTGGGTAATTTTTTTTTTACAGCACTTTGAAATTTTGGCCTAAAATACCCTATTTTAAACTACGGTATTTAAGATGGGGTTAGGGGAAATAAATTTATGTTTTTGTCACTTTTACATATACTGTGGATATTAAATATAACAACGACTTGGCTAAATAGTTAGTCATCACTCTCATTAAAAAAATTGATCGGAATGATGACGTCACCATGACAAATTCCAAGATGGCGTTCATTATGGCGGGAAAAAACTACGGTATGTTTTTAATATAACAATAATTTTATTGTTATGAAAGTAAAAATACAATCTCAAAACCATATTATACATAGGCCTACATGAATAAATTAAAACATATAATTAATGAACTATTACAAAGTAAACCCAATGAAAAAACGAAATAGTGAAATTTTGCTTTAAAATACCAATTTTTGGATCGGGTATGGGAAGCATATTTATGTTTTTAGTCACTTTTAGTTTTTTTTTCTATAAATCTGAAAACTGATAGGACCTTAGTTAAATACCCATTATGGTCGTTTAGTGGTCGCCCAGGGGGTCTGATAAGGTGGGTCCAAATACAGGGTCGACTAGACCCTCGGTCAGAGTCCCGGAATAAACATCCCTGGGGTCATGGGGGACTTTTAGCTTAGTATGGCCCAAAATGTTGTTTTTAAGCCAAAATATTAGGGATTGGCAATCAAAATAATGTTATATGAATAGGCAAATCAATATTTGTGGTCTGGCGACTTTGCCGTATCATCGGATGTTGGGAGTCTAGGCCTGAATTCCCCACCAAGCAAATTTGGAATGATGACGTCAACACACCAAATTCCCAGACTACGACAATAAAAGGTAAAGGAAATGTTTATTATTATTATTCTACTATTATGTTATTACTATATAATATTATTAATATAAATATCATTATTCTTGTGCGTTTTCAAAAAAATTATAGTTTATAATTCAAATTGATATTAGCGTTAGTACTGCTATTCTTACTATACTGATGTCCTTATTACTATCATCATCATTATCATCTTCCTCATTATCATCCCCATCCTCATTATAATCCCAATCATAATGAGGATGTTGATGATGAGGAGGAGAACAAAGATGATGAGGTAGAAGATGATGATGAGGAAGATGATGATGGTGATTATGATTGATGATAATAGCTGTTGATGAGGATGGAAGTGATGATGTTGATGAGGATGATAGAAAATGATTGATGAGCATGATGATGATGAGGAATGATGAGAATCATCCCTCTCATCCTCACCCTCGTCCTCATCTTCATTCTCGTCGTCCTCATCATCATCATCCTCATGATGGTAATGATGATTATTTTATTCAATTTTTTTTTAAATACAAAAACAAGTACAAAATCAGAACAGACAAAAAAGATACAAAAGCCGAGAAGTGGTAAGAGCATAAAAACGTTGTCACCAATAAGGTGTTCTTCTCCATTAAGGTGTACTGTACTTTTCCATTAGACTTTTGCTTGAATAAAAATTAATCGGTACATCCTAAAATGATATATTATTTGAATGTTGACTCATCCCACTCAATCATATCGTAGAAAAGCAGATTTAAATATTTTGGAGTTAATAGTAGTGGAGTGAGGGAGAATAACAATAATTGAAATACTTTTAGAATAATGAAACTAATACATGTTTACTAAGTATGACTGAACAGAAAGGGAAATGGATTGGTGAAAGTTTATCGGGTGTATCCTTCATACGTAAATTAAATCTATGTAGGTCTACAAATTACAAGCAGTACAACCAAAGTTAACGTTCATTGATTATGGTATGCTGTGTTTTTAAAGCTTAAAAACAATGCAACTATCAGTAAAATTTGGGAGTAGTGGTAGTAATTACTGAATTTACTAAAACTGTTTGAATTACTGGGTATGCAACAAATTGAATTTGGCCTTATCTATCGTGTTTGTTTTTTGTGTGTTGTAGTGAATTGGCTCTAAAAAAGGTGAAAGATGTACGGCAATACCAACTGAGTGCACCAGTGAAATATATAATTGTATGATTGCTTTTTCATACGTAATTAATTAACTCTCCAATCAGCTATAGAACCGGAAAAAAACCTTTTCCAACAAGAACGCCTCCAAAATAGACGGACTGAGGAAGAGCAGTCTTAAAAGTACTGTCGCATACTAACTGAAACTTTCTCATATTAGTGTGCGGGTTCATGTTCAGTAATACGGTAGGCATTTGTGCATTATAGTATTTAGGACTAAGATGATCTTGCAGATATGTTTTTTATGCTTTGGGAAACGAAACTAAAATGTCTGTATGTTTCACAATTGTAGACTCGAATTAAAATGAACATGGGTTTTATGCAACAGGCCGATCATTCATTTTTTGTGAAATTTAAGTGGCAGTTTGGCCTGTAAATCTTTACAGCATTATATTTATTTATTTTTATTTTCAAAACTCACCTACTTCACTACTTTTTATATTTTTAAATTATTTTTATAAGGTAAAAAATATAAAACTAAACGTGAATTCTCAAACCAAACATAACCATTGATAGTAGGCCTATTCGTGAAACAATGTTCTGTTTATTAGAGCTTACGCGTTGTTTCTAGAACACGCTTCTACATTCCAATGAACCATATGATAGTTTAATTGGGATACTTACCGGTATGACCTAATTGGAGGGAAATTCATAATGTTTAATGGAACATACAGCATGAATGTCACTCCAATAATTGACAAGGCTACTTTATTCTTTGTTTCTGTTTTATTTATGTACTGTATCATAAACCATCACATGTACTGTAACACAAAGAAAAAACTGAAGTGACCTGAAATCGTTTTTCATAGTCTCCATAAGATTTTGGTTGAAGATGATCTGAAATGTATTTGAGGCAAGATCACTAAGTAGTTTTTTAAGAACTGGGTTAATGTGTTCACTTCTTATAAAGTTACAACCCATGCAGATGTATTCTGGTGAAAGCAGAAATATTTTTCATGCGACAAGACAGAGAATGTCATTACAATTGTCGAGTCGTAAGAATCAAACTAAATGGATATTACATAATTGAAGATGTCTGAATTTTCACTTGAATGAAAATGGACTGAGCAACAAAAATATGGCTTATACACCAGAAGTAATTATATATATATATATATATATATGTATGACGTATGACGGGGATAAGATCGGGTCATAAGACAGCCGCAGCTGTACCGCGAAAAATCGGCTAATAGGGTATTGTTTTTACTCTCCCTCTCCCCAACAGCTTTTCAAACAAGGAAGGGGTGCCTCACTTTGAAAGTGGTGATAGGAGGGAGTGTGGGGCTGCGCATTACCACAGTTCCGAAGGATAATTAAAATTCCTGGCCAGTTCACTTTAACCAAGAAAGTTAAGAATATGTCACTAAATTTATTGCAAGAAACAACCGCGTATAATTTTATTATAACAAAAATATGAAATACCAATAAATGTTCACATAGATGTTACAGGTATTAAGAATTCTACATTTTTCTGTTTGAATATAATATAAAATCAGTCTACAAAATTTGAGAATCATATATTTGAAATTTAAATAAAAAATAATCAATGACAATTTCTACACATTTAAAAAGAGTACTGCATGCAAATACCATTTTCTACGAAATTTTTCTTCGAAACCGATAATAAAAGTCGTTCTATTTCATTTTTCAGAGGAAGACAAAATAATATACATAGCTTAATCAATCCATGAATAATGATTCGAATCTTTCTTTTTTTAACAACCAAATTATACAGATTTGCAATCTGGCTAAATACAAATATATTCATCAATTGAAAATTACTACATTATAAGAAAAGATTTGTTCATGCCTATTATTTTATGATCTATATATATATAAAAAGTTCCTTTAAAAATATAAAAATGGTCTTATTCTATATTTTGTGAGGAAGACATTGACATGAAAACGATACTTAAACTACAATCTACGGTACAGTTTAAGGCACGTGTTATCACTGATAAACATCATCGACTGAAGCATAGTTTCCGTAAATTACGGATGGCTGTCGAAGACACACGGTAATGTATTTATGGAAGAGTTGATCTATATAAACTCTGTTCAACTTTACTGATTTGTAAATCCTCCAAAAAATCGCTTACTATTGCTTCGTCGATCGCTACATTAAGTAGCGGTCTCCGAGACAATCGCAAATGTTCGTCTTATCAGCGTCTCATCAACCATTTATGCCTGGTAATAAAGTAGTCAGTAGCCTTCGTGATCATCGATACCAAGCGTTTTCATATTTTACCCTGTCTGTGTTTGAGGTACAAATTGTAAATATAAATAATTCTGTAATAAACTCCTAAAAACAAAAAAAAAAACAAAAACAAAAACGCGAGTACTGGTTGAGTTAGTACAACTAAACTTGTATTTACAATAGGTCATTTAATCAATTACTCGATATAGCGATTCATCGACCAATCTTTTAATCGAACCTATCGACCGATCAGCCAATCAATCAATAAGATGCACTCGCAATGCCGAGATGGAAATAGAAGCAATCCTATGTGGTAATAGTAGACACCCGCGCCCTCATCCGATTTTCCACCTACCATTGACAACTTTCTAAAGAAAAAATATAAGATGTAGACCTATATTTTTAGCGTCACATACAAAACAATGAGGGAAGAAGTCCACTTACAATCGACGACGAACAAAATACACTAGGCCTACTAATCACTTGACACGACGTTAGCTTGCCAATGCAGGGACAGCTGGACTAAAACGTCAAATCTCATGCTTAGCTCAGTCGGCTAAACTGGTGGTAACACTGTAGTGTGTGCGTTGAACCGTAGAAAGGTCCTCGGTCTTCTTCAGACTTCCGTGGGTTATCTTTAGTGTTTACACCAAAAAAATCCGTCCACCCATCCATCCATCCAGCCAATAGAATTATCACTAGTCTATTTATGTAGTAATTCTAAGGGTGATTTTAATTCATTATTTAAAAATAAGCTATAAAAGTTCTAGAATTATTTGGGGGTTTTTTTTCAATATAAACTAATAGGCTTATCATTAGTGAATATGCTATTTTAAAAAGACAAAAAATTCATCATTTTTATAGAACTAAAGTTAAGGCGAGTCTTTCCTGCATGGTAGCCCAAATCGTCAATATGATGACGGTGGCAGCTAGGCAAGAAGAAGGATTAGTTTGAAGATATCAATAATCATTATTTTCTTTTTAAAGAAAATAATCTTAAAGACGCGCTTAAACTTCTGCGCATGAAGAGTTGCCTAAGCTTGAAGAGTTACATAGGCTTAAGTCTAACGTACTATTATTTATTACTATTATTAAATCAGACAAGGGTCCAGAAATCAGGGGAGGAAAGGTAACGCTAAACAATATATTTTTATATTTGCTCTATTAACACACATGAATCAACATTAAATACTGTTCCACCGAAAAATGTATTAACTATCTTAAGCTAAACAATGTCTATACTGTATTATCACCAAGATGATACGCCATTTTGATCATCCCTAATAGTTAATTTATCGATGATTTTCTTATTAAAAGTAATAATCATTTAGAAAAAAAAAATATACAGTTATATATATTTTTCCACTAATATGTTCATAGTTACTACAGAGAAATCAGAAGAAATCCGCATCACCTCTCAGCATGGCTACTCTCTGGTCTCGTGCTTTTATGTGTCACCTTAGAGACATCGTTTAAACTGCTGGTTCTGCAACGCTTTCAGTTTTGAACTTATCAACCATGGAGTACGTTTCTTGACTTCTAGTAGGCTTTCTGGGTAAAGAGGAAATCAAAGTTTCATGATGAGAAACACAACAACAACGGGCTTAGAAAATGTTTTACTCTTGTGTATGTCCTAAAGGGTTTACAGGTTTATGGTGGGTTTAACTTAGGTTTTACATACTTGATTGTATTTATTACCATTATTCAGCAACATTGTGAATGAACAGTGGTGACGCCAGCAGTGGAGGGGGGCAGGGTGGGCATTCCCCCTCCGGTCAGGCCCGGACACTCTGTCGTCCGACGAACGACTAGGTCGTCGGTTAAAAAAAAAATAATAATAATAATTTGTCTGTCCTAATAACACTAGTTTGATTGACAATCCTTAATTAAGCCATAAAAATTCTCCCCATGAACCCTAACAGAGATTTTTTTTTATTCCAAGCCGTCGACCGAGGATTCGTCTTCGCCTTGGTTTGGACCCCTCCGTCGAACACGTCGGACCCCTTGTCGGCAAATTTCTGGCGCCACCGCTGTGTATGAAGACAACGTATTTTCTTACCATATGGAATATTTTAACTAATGGGTGGCCAAGTAATGTTAACATATATACTCATGATAAATTACTACTTTATCGTGCAAACAAGGACACAAAGTTATCTATAGCTACCTCACTCAATAATACAGATTATTTACGTTTTAGGAAAAAACATCCACGAATGTTTAAAATTATATAGGCCTAAAATATCTGTTCAGAGACTTACGAGGAAAATTGTTCTCCTTCTTGTAAAGTTTCCGGTAACTTCCTGCCCATTGTTTCAGGAAGAAACAAACAAATCAAACCTCCGGTGAAGGACATGGAACTGAAAAGGACGAGGGGTAATGGTGTCCACCACTCACCCATGTATAAAGCAAGTGGTGATACAATACTACCTACACGACCAGACATCGAAGCTAATCCCAATCCAGCACTCCTGAAATACAAGTACGTCACAAAGTATTAATTAGTCCTATATTACATTATTTAGAACAGGCGTTTGAAAGGAATTATCTAACAACAGGCAAAAATCATTACAAAGCGTTGATTACAAATGTAACAGATTGAAGAACAAAGTAAACATTATTCGGGTTATACCTAAAATGTCAAAACAAATATACGATTTTTGTTTTAGAATTGAATCAGTATAAATACCTGACTGGTGTTGGAAAGATTTCAGCGGAATAGACGTAAACTATGCCAAAAGCAGCCGTGAGTCCAAATTTTCCGGCCATCGCAATGGTGACGCGTACTACGCCGGGATCTGGTAATAAACAGCCCACTTTTTAGATTCAACATGGTAACTCGTTTAAAATTACGTGATAACACTTAACGGTAAAATGGAAGATAGACATTTCTTTTTTTTCTTAGATAGATCTCAGATGGTTCCTTAACTCACACAATGAAGAAACTGTTATTCAACAAACATTGCGAATTAATCAATATTTACAACATACCGACAAAACAAAAACTGTAGGTATTCTATTTGAAGTGGTCAAATATGACCAAAAAAATTGTACATTAAAATGCTCATTGAAAGAAAAAAAAGTAACATTGTTCAATTTAATCCCGATGGAATTCAATAGTTGGTTGTTACAGACTTCTTTTCTACGAAAATTATAATTACCAGCTAAGAGTCTACAAAAAACAAAACCGTAATAATTTGGCACAAGCCCACATAAGGTGACGAGGATATATTTTCACCCAAATTTCAAATAGAAAGCAAATTCAATTATTGAATATCAAAGATAATAACTTACGAATGAACACTGTAAGGAGGCAAGCCAATCCCCCGAGAAGCAAACTAAGACTGAGAACTATTTTTCTACCAATGTAATCAATGGCGAATATGCTGATGATGTACGCAGGAATTTCTATGAGACCTGACAGCATAAATGCTAAATATGGATCAATACCAAGGTCAGATGTGCTCAAAGACAATCCATAGTAAACCATTACGATAACAAACCTGTCAAATAAAGAAACAAAGCTATAAAAATTGAAGTAAACGTATACGACATTACTATCAACAGGTAGGCCTAATACCTTCGAAACCATACACAAAGATTAAAATACACCGAATATATTTATGCAGATCACTTTAATGGACACTCTATGATGATGCTAATGCCAATGGCAAGTGTAACAATGATGTTGATGATAATGTATGCGTCATTTGGTCGGAGGTCAAGGTTAAGGTTACTGATGGTGTTAGAGAAATTGAGTTAAATGTGGTTGTAATAATGATAATAAGTTGACGATATAAGAAGGATAATAATGATGCTGAAATGATGTGGATGATATTATTGATGATGAAAATAGTAATAACAATGACGATCTTCAACAAAGTAATATACATGACGATTATCATATAAATGACGATGATAGTTATGATGATGACAATGATAACCACAATGGTGGCGTTGAGGCCGCTGCTAATGATAATGATAATAATATGAAGATAATGATAATAATAAAGCCAATGGTCAATTGCTGGGCACTTGTACAGCGCATATAACATCGTCTCTATGCGAAACCAGAATAGATGGTTGAAATGGAAAAGAAAGCTAGTGATGATAATAATTTCAATGACGACAATGATTAGGATTATGATGATAAGGATGGCCATGATGATGGTAATCAATCAATCAATCAATCAATCAAATGCATTTATATAGCGCCGGTATCGATTAATAATGTTCAAGGCGCTCGACAAATTTAAATTTGAAATGCTTCCGAGAACAGGTAGGTGATGAACGACAGCGATGATGATGGTAATAAAGATTGTTTCAATGGTGATTATAACGACAATAACTGATTTTTGCAGCTATGATTTCAAAATGTAATCAATGCATACGTATATCGTTTGTACGTTTCAACTTTCAATCAATTATAATATTTGTGGTCTCAATATACATTACCAGTTGTACATAATATTCAACGTTCGCATTCGGAGAACTGGTGTTCGAAATAGGTCGATAAGTGTATGTTTATGATTCGTAGTACCATCGTCGGTCTATGGGAAACAAGAAATTTAAAGCATCAACATAATAGGAAAATTGAGATGAATAATGATGGAAGTCTGTAAAGGAAAACTACCCTAATAGGGGGAATCAAACATGTCAGCAATACTTCAAATTTAGTAGCATAAAATTACTTTATTATCGGATAAAAAAATATTATAAAGATAAAGAACTGACGATGAAAAATTGGTAAGATGGCCCCACAGTACGGTTTAGAGAAATATTATTCTACTAGCTTTTTTATTAGGCCTATATAGTAAATTAGTTGTTATTGTACCGTATATAGGAAGTTTTTTTTTTTTTTTTTTTTTTTTTTTTTTTTTTGACGAGTGGTAATCCTGTGAGCTAATTTTCCTTTTGAATTGATTCTATTGTTAAAATTAAATTATCAGATTGTAATAAAAGTTATTTGTATTTACCAGAAACAGATCGAAAAATAGATTTCGCTGATTTATAGATGGTTTTCTACAAAATCTTCAAATTAAGTACCAGCCAATTCAAGGTTCTATGCAAAGGAATACCGTAAATGTATTATTTAACTGTGCGTGCGACGGGGAAATTGTTTATATTATTCAAATTTAAAAAAATACATAAAACAAAAAAAATAAAAGTAATAAATAATACAATAACAAAAATTATAAGAATACTAAAATATACAAATTAGGTTACTCGTATATGGAATAGAATTTTTCTTTGTTTAGCCCATGAAAGACTTCTATCGATCTACATGGCACTTGAGATTGTGACTGTTACCAATGAGGTATTCTCCGATTAAAAATATTTTCGTATTCAAATATAATTCCCTTTTTCTTATAGGCCTACCAACCTATTATTTTCATTCTTTTACAACGGTTGTTTTTCTTGCTATCCACGATGTATACATGGCCAATATTAATTAATTTCATAATATAATAAATAAATGATATTTTATTAAATTTTAATATTTCTACCGCATCACCATATTTAATATATTCACACATCCGGATGGTTGATGCGTAACAAAGAACCAAAGCACGGGTTTACTACACGCGCTATTTTAAAACGATAACCCGATAAAACATTCATATACAACTGTATACACTGCTGGCAATGGACACCTGTCAGATCTTGTTAAATGGAGTATAGACATTTAATCTCGCCTTAAGGTAAGGCATAGGGCTAGGTCTATTTTTATAATTTATTTTAATAATTGTTTCATTATTACTTTTGTTTATCGTAAACTATTATGCTGCTCTTTCCATACAAAGAAACATTGGAAATCAATTAGGTCAATTATTAACATTCTCATAATACATTGGACATCAGTGACATGGTACATAAAATGTTATGGTACAATCATTTTCATGCACGATATCTCTCTTAATTTTTTTGGAAACATCAACGAAACTCTTTAACCAGCAATCACAAAACGTTATTGTAGCAATCGCGAACGCTGTGAATCATACATGTAGTTAGGTTAACATTGCAACAATTTTCGCAACGTTCAGAAAATAAGCCAATATATAGGCTACGTGTTGTTCTACAAAAAAAAAAACACAAACAAACAAACAAACCAAACTAAACTGTAACGCTGGCTTGGTACACTGCTATTTGCTTTTTATACTTTTTGTAATTATCGTACGTATTAATATATAGTGTCATAATACAGATACAGCTCAATTAATATTAATAAATTAACGACTAAAGCAGCATTACAATACTTAATTGTTACACACACCTCAACCTGACCGACGTACGCGACAGCCAGCTTGTTGACGTTTGTACCTGATGATACAGATACACATACAGATAATAATATTCAACATAGATTTTTACTACTTTAGAAGACTACATAGGCGTAGATCCCGGGGGGATGGGGGATATATCCCCCCAATATTTGACAAGGGGGGATGGTCCATTGTATCATCCCCCCCCCCCAATAGTTTGACTATGTATGGGGTAAAATGGAGCTTTACACAAAACACAAAAGACTCTCACAGAAATAATTTGCACTGCCTTATGCGCTTACAAAGATGAAAATTAGCATAATGTATTAATGTTGATCACAAAATTATTTTATCTGGTACCGGTACCAATCTAAACTCTTCTTTCCTTAGATGTTAGATGTGCTTGCAAAGAGAGCCACATTTCACACTGAAGGGTGTGTACTACGACAGTAATGTTATGTCAGTTCCAAGAATGTTTAAGGTTATATCGGTTGATGAGGAATTTATTGATTAGGCATATAATAGCAAATTGCATCAATTTATTTTGCAAAAACAAGGTTTCCAGCTTCAGAGGGGGACACATCCCCTGTCCGCACAAGGCGCACACATTGGCGCTAACACCAGGCGCGTAACAGGGGTATTGGGTCAGAGTGGGTTAATAATTTACCATACCCCACCCCACTCCCCATATAGAAAACAATACCGGTACGGTACGACATAGGGCTTATCTTATTTATAATATAGGCCACACACATGTGTTTGAAACTAAATACAGTATAAGCATTTTCATCGTGGTTTTATTTATTACAAACATATTCTTTCACCATCAATATACACATTGAGGCCCTCCTTTTAGGTTAAAATGATCTATCTTAAATTTGTCTTTCTTGAGTTTGGGACTATTATGTGTTTAAATAACTTACAAGGATAAACCTAAAAAAGCTCTAAAAAACGCACGCGAAACGGGCAAAATATTTTTGTGTTTTTAATTCTAATTTCGTCGGAATTGATGAACACTCCCTGAAATGTGCAATTTATAGAGGAAATTGGCCTACCGTAACAAGAAATGCGCGCAAAGAATTTGAGAATTTTAGGCACTTTCAGAGGATGCATTGTCAAGGGGTGAGGAAAGATTTTCCAAAGATGGATATTTTCACCTTGTGGCCCGGTGTTTTTAATTCTAATTTCGTTGGAATTGATCAAAACTCCCTAAAATGTGCAATTTTAGAGGAAATTGGCCCATGTTAACAAGAAATGCGCGCGAAGCACGCGAAATTTGGAGTTTTTAGGCACTTTCAGGGGATGAAAAGGGCATTTATTAAGGGTTGGGGAAGATTTTTCAAAGATAGATATTTTCCCCTTGTCCCCCAGAGGTTACGCCATCGGGCAGCATAGATCAAAAGAGTTATGACAGTTTTTGAAGTGGAGAAAGGGTTGCAGGGTGTTGTGAGTCTGGTCATTATGATATCTTCTTCCTTTTTATTATTGTCTTTATTTTTCTCTTCTCTTTTTCTTTCCTTTTCCTCTTCTTTCTCTTTCCCTCCCTCTCCCCTCTTTCTTTTCTCTTATTACCCAGATCGGGACGACGGCTTGGTCAGCCCGGTAAAAACCGTCAGGGGAGGGGCAGTCTGTTACGACACTGGCTATAAACACGTCAATCATCCCCCCAATGAAAAATACTTTTCTACGCCACTGGAAGACTATATTGGTGTTGTTTGTATGGTAGTATACTTTATTAGGGTGGTAACATTCAGCAAAAGTCTCATTAAAAAATATATATATTTTAGGGAAGCCGTTCCTTTTGTAATAAGGTGTACTCAATGGTTGGCATTACTCAGCGTTTGTAAGAGTGGTTACAGTGTAAAATATTATGAACTATTGTTCATAACTTAATTATCATACGTAATAATTGTTCATTACCTTTGTCACTTTTTCTGAAAACGGATGTACCGGAATTGTGATATTGTTGACTTTAGCTGCCTTCTGAATAATAACTTCTGCCTTTTCAATCGCACCTTGCGAAAGCAACCACCTTACCGACTCTGGCAATAACCTGTATTCGTAGAACAAGTTGTCTACTATTAAAGCCCGCATCATGATATAGTGTCATGTGAAGGCTAGGTTGAAACACTGGAATAAAAGTAGACATTTATTACCATTATTTACTATCCATATTATTCATATGCGAGCCAAAACAAATTATGGTGGCCGTAAGACAGCCAATATATGATGATGTTGCTGTATTAGAAAAACGCATAATATCTTGGAAATATTTAGTTAATTTCTCTTTTTCTTGATCCAGCAAGAAACGTAATTACAGTATAATATACAAATGTTATACTTTCACTGCTGAGCTTCATTAACAATATGTCAACTTCATTTTCACAAAGTTGTTCTCAAGACATACAGAGAAAGAACACCGAGATGACCTAGCCTATCTAGATGATGACATTGTAGATGAGACTGTTTCTGCTTACTACCACAGCGCAGCGTAGGTACAACGAGTGGAGAGCCGCCAAGACCTCTGCCAATAATTTTCATTAAGAATGTAATTATCAAGAATTATGATTATAAAGTATGATAATTTTGTTGTGCCTCCTTCTCTTCTTCTTTTATTGGCGATCAAGGCAGCTGAATGCGAGGGGCCTGGTCTCTAAGTAAACCTAATTACTATAACATATGTCAGAGAATCACTCCCATCCAGTAATTAAAACAAATATTTAATATAAAACACATAAATATACATCACGCAAAATGTACTGAAAAATGAAATCAGTAAAATTAAAAAGAGAAGTAATAAGGGAAAAATATATATTATTATAATTATTATAATAATTATTATTATAATAATTATTATAATAATAATAATTATTATTATATAATTATTATTATTATTATTATTATTATTATTATTATTATTATTATTATTATTATTATTATTATCACCACTACTACTATTTTAATTAATACTATCATTATCATTATTATCACTATTTTTATTCATTTGATGAGGGATGATGTATACAGGTGTGATTTGAGTCTTGAAGTGAATGTGTGAAAAGGATCAAGGACGAGAGAATTCTTTAGATCATTTGGAAGGTCTTTCTAAAGACGGTGGAATGTGTATATAGCAGATTTGTGAAGAGAATCATGATCTGCTTTAAGGTGTTTAAAGGAAAGAGTTTTACTATGGCTAGGTCAAAAAGTACAGACTTGAATAGGGTTAGAAATACTTGTACAGTCAATATAACACAGGAAAGCCTTGGAAATAAATAAAAAAGAAATTGCCAGTGAAATTAAGATAATCGGTCTATATAAGCTTTTCCATAACACCTACATTTTCCCAATGCCAGTTTTGTGGCTGTTCTTTGGCTTTTTCCTATACTATGCAGGGAATGTCAACATATCTCTATATCTCAAAATGTCCTAAATCTTTACTTGAGAACGCAACGGAATCTATCAGCGAAACTTGATATCACATGCTCAAGTATACGTTTCTTATTGGTGATCAAAAGCAGAACAGACAAAACCTATACCCGATTCACAAACGAAAAATAGATGTTTTGCTTTATACACATTAGTAAATTCTATGTGAAAACTACCTGTACTTTACCCATAATTATGTGGGCATGATATGAATATGAAATCATATGAGCAATCCATACAAATGGATGTATGGTTTGTTACATGGGTATTCGTAAGGAGATCAATGTCGATCTTGGCAAGCGCACATCTAACGCGTGCTATAATGAGCCTTTCCGCTCTAAGCTGCCCCACCATAACAAAAGGATGTTTGCATTGCTTTGAGTAATTAAGGAATATGGAGCATGTTGATTTTGTCCCCTGCTTCCTTTTCTGGTGGTTTTTACTGTATTTTTAGTCTCTTTCGTCCTTTTTGTGTTGCTAATTACTTGTTAATTAGTGGGATTTGAACATACTCAAATATATCAATATGTTCCAAATTATTAGTTCTTTGATAGTGACTAAAAAAACTCGTTTTTGAAAAATTACCAATTATTTCCTTTTGTCATGGTGGGGCAGTAAGCTCCGCCCCTTGGATATTGTTGCTAAGATCCCACAAAAAAACGACAGAACGTGCACTTGTGGGACATCAACACGCGAGTTTATGAGACGCGCGCGTGTTCCGGGCCCTGTTCTGATTGGTCAGTTGTCAATAATTGACAATTCGGTAAGGACCCTTTGAGACGGCTTAGTACGCGTCCCGTGCAACATTATTTCGTGTGAATCGGTTACAAGTTAGTGTTTATTGTGTACATTTAATAAAATGAAGCGTATAATTACGGCATGTAGAAGAGACCAAATGCAGTCGGGACAGACAACGCTATCTGAAGTTTCGTCCAATCTCGAATGAAGTAGGCCATAAGCGCCAGCAACATTATACCAACGGCCCAATAGACTTGTATCAAGGTCCCAGCTACGGTTCTCCATTTTAACCCAACGAGCTCAGTTGCTATAAATGAAGGAAATTTTTACAACAAAAACAATAACCATATATACGCAATAACAAAATAATCAGCAGCAACATCGTCAAGAAAAACAGCAGCAAAGTAAAAATAGCAGCAGTGATAGAAACAACAGCAAAAACAAAAACAAAATAAAAAATTAGAAAACAATAATAATACTAATACTTTATATTTATTTATATCAACATTTTTCACAGAAGGTATACTGTCTTGTATTTTTGTATTACAGTGAATATAGATTTATTTATTTTATTTTATTTTTTTTTGGTCAGTGAGCAAATTAAATTCATACAAAACAGAGGCCTATAAGTTTTTTGCGAGCCGAGTGACCAAGCGGTAAGGCAGGGACGCCATTAATTACTACAGCCTTAACATCGGCGCTGGTTCAGGACTTCGAGTTAAGGATTATTCTCCTACAGTTATAAGCTTAAACCAAGATGGTTAATGCATACTGTACCTATAATAAAAGCAACCAGGAATATGCCAATAGAGGCCGCTGCAACGACAAAACGAAGAGCACAATAGGCTGCGAACGAGTTGACGAAAGCCGTTATCAAGCCAAGAGAGCATTGGATCACCACACAGATGATTAGTGTTGGTTTACGACCAATCCTAAATTAGAAATGCAGGAGATAAAAATGAAATCACCAATGATACACTAAGGTAGTTCATAGTCAGTTTAAAATGTAATTAATATATATAATATATACTCTATATATATATAATAAATATATATAGGCCTATATATATATACATATACATATACAC